ATATATAAAAGTAGATTTTGAGATAATCCTAAAAACATTTTACATCAAAATTATATGCCATGATCAAATTTGAAGGTGCATCTTACCTCTACAACTACGTATGCCAACTGCACCCATATAAAAACTAAGAAGTGAAAGTGTTTATGTCATTGTACGGAACATAACATGTAAAAGAATATATTTTTTTGGTACTGAATTAAAGGTATGAGATGTAAATAATAAATTTGTTTGATACTTTTTAGTGACGAACCTAATTAAAGACATGAATATGTTTGATACACGAACAATATTTTTTTGCAAACACTAAGTTCAATATGGATCGGAGCTGAGGGTATGGAACTAATGGCCACTTCCGGAAATAATGGAAGGAAAAAAAGGACATCTAGGTAAATTTTAAACTTTTGGGGACATTTTTAAATATCTCTAAAATAGGATTATGTACGTTAATTTCCCAATGAACAATGATAAGTGGTCCAATAATAAAGTTAAATTTTTTGAGAAGTTAAATTAGTACATTTTCAATGTTTAAATTCCATTTTATCTTTTTCAGCTTCATAATGATTGTGATTGAGATTATCGACCTATAAAATTATGTCCAAATCCATCACTGAGATGATTTTTTGAAAGAGACTGCATTCTTTTTTTAACTTTCTTTTTCTTTTTTGATTTTTTTTTTTTAACTTCCATGAATATCATTAGAGCACTACAAACAAGTTTAGCAGTCACACGGGCATTATACATCAAACCACCAAGGTTGAAGACCGCGCTATCCGATCTATCCACCTCAAATCCAATCTAGCATACATGTCTTGGATCTCAAACCACAGTGATCTTAGGGTCCTTGGCAGTCTGTTCGTACTTGCACCATCTATCGCCTTTTGCAATTACCAGTCTACAAATCTTTTCATCCTCTATAAGAGTCAATCCTTGCAGGATTGCACTTTTTGGTTCTGCTTCATTTGCTGTGACTGTTCTACATGGCCCTGAGAAAGTTTACGAGGTGTTACCAGGAGATCGTAGTCTCGTACTGAGCATCCAACTCCAGCAGGCCCAAGGTTACCAACCAAGTTCTCATCGGAACTGAGCTTGATGGTACCCTGTGGAGGAGGCCTCCAAAGGCAAAATATCTGTCTCCATTGAATACTCATCTTTGCCACCTCTTCAAGTTTCCAGCATATATCATTTCCAGAAGTAACTAATTTTTAAGTCTCTAAGATGTTTGTATATTCATCAAATTACAGGAAACCAAATACTTGAAAATCTCAACACTAATTTGCTCAAATGTCTTTCTCTCTCTGCAGCCACCATGTGCACGCAGGCATGGAGGGTGGGGTGAATGAAGAGGATAATGATAAGGCTGTGAAAATACACAGGACAATGTTCATCACTTGTATTTTTTCCGCAAGTAGGCTAGGTAAGAATCCACAACCTCAGGATTGGGACAACAATTATCTGCTAGTTGAGTCATGGCTTCAACCAGCCCTACCCGGCAAAGTGATTTCCACTACTTGTACTATGACAATTGTCATCTATTTTTCTCTTCACATAAAACAAGGAATGAAAGACGCAAAGAAACGTAATCCATACATGGAAGTTTCTATATTGAAATACAAGCTTCGTAATACATTAAACTAGACAGAATTTCATCGAATATGTTACATCAACTGCCTGTGAAAAATGGAACTCAATTGTCTTGACCCATCATTTACGATAAAAAATACCGAAGCCATTGTGCAATGGGGCTGGATTCTGATCATCAAAAAAGAATTGATGGATGCAATTGAGAGCCAAACTAAGCATTGAGATTTTGCTTCTCATCCACACTGCTTGCTTTGGATGTATCAGTTGGTGGTGGTGGTTCCTCAATGGTCTCTTTATCTTTTTTCAGCTCTGTCTCAAACTCCTTTGCTGCCTACAAAATCCAAATCATTACTTCTCTTGCAGAACTGAACCAAGAGAACCATAAAAGAAATAATGAAAAAGGAATAAAAAAAAGAAAGGATTCCAAACACTACACAACAGTGATTAATGCCCAGATTTACTTGGATTCTCCAGAAATATTCCTTGGTTTCCATACAGAGACACAATTTGTGTGTGCGTGTGCTTGTGTGAGTGAGTGAGAGAGAGAGAGAAAGATGTCAGTCAGACTGTGACCATTTGTAAAATCCAAATAAATTTCCTCTCTATTCTAGACACATGACATGCATATGTATGCATGTAGCATAGCTTAGTCGCATTTGTATTGTAAATATAACATATATGGAGCCCCTTAGGCTTGGCTCAGTGGTAGACACCGTCTTTCAAATCGGAGGACAAAGGCATGAAACTTGGAAATGTGCTCCCAAAATCAAACCAAGCTGAACTACCCTTTTACAACATGTGAAGAAAAAAAACATTTGAGAATAGTCAGTTCTTTTTGTTCTCAAAAGCTACTCTGAATGTTCGATGCCATTATGTGAATATGGATCTCCTTATAGTGAAATTAGGAGGAGTTCAATTCTATTATAAGTTCTAAAATTAGGAGTTCAATTCTATCATAAGCTGGACTAGGAGAGCAGGTCTTTCTCAATGCAGGAACTAGTTTTACCTTTAGCTTTCTTCATACTTAAACTAAGGCTTGTTTTATTCAAGTGGACAATAAGTGAGTAATTCCTTATGCAAAATTCCCACTTTTTGGCATATCATGCCAACTGTACCTAAACCCTAGCACATACATGAACTTAAGCATTTCTAAACTCAAGGGTTCAATGTCCTTTACTTGCTGCTCTTGCTGTTTTATGGAAAAGCTCAGTCCTCCATATAATGAGCATAGTGAAATATGCTATTGCTATTGGGGTAATGGTCAAAGATCAAATCAATAGATAAATATGTTTATAAGCATAGGTGAAAGGGAGCTACCTGGTCAGATCCATGGGCTTATCTTAAGTAGTTCTTTCCATCTTCATCCAGCAGTAGTTAGGAAGCATCAAATGACTAAGTTACTTAGAAAACCAAGTATATAGTCAATCTATTAGTGCATGGTCCCAAAAAGACTCTTCATATTTTATTTCTCAAATCAACCAAAAACCTACCTATTACATATAAAGGAAAAGTATAAAATAAGACTGTTTATCTTTGGTAAAAGGATATGAGGAATCATAGTCTTATTGAGGGCATGACCCTTGCTGGAGTAGAATGGCAGAACATGATTTCATATAGCCGATCCTGAATAGTTGAGATAAGGCGTTGATGATGATGATGATGATCTTCGGTACAAGGAGGTACACAATCACTAGTGGCTATTAGATTTAAAATTGGATGGTTGGGGATTTACCATTAACCAAGCACAAAGTTCAAAAGAAAATTTCTTGACCTTTGCAGCACATCCTAAGCTCTAGGAATTGACATCTGATGGTTTAGAGTGATTGTGACCTCTTTGCACCAAGGGAAATTGGTCTTATAGTGTACAATCCTTATATATAAATATACTATTTATATCTACCATACACACTTCAGTCCTCTCTTTATTGGAGTTCAAATAGGAAAGAAGCAAAATAATCAAGTGATGTCTCCCTCATCGTCCACAAAAAGATGCATGCATGCACGTGCAAAGTTAGAGATGTAGAGGTTTCCATTACCAGTAGCATTCGTTGAGTTTGATTAACGAATACAGCATTGAATCTATTAAGGCGTGAATGTGTAATAATGAACGTTTTAGTCATTTCTATTATTTGACCCTTTTCTAAAATTACTTTCTAAGCAACTACATGATGTATATATATATAGAAAAAAGTCTATATAAGTGCAAGGCTCTAAACAATCAAATTAGAGCGCACCTCAAAAATTTCACTAGAAGAGGTTGTTCAAATATCCTCAAATTCATCATCTTGACCTCAAGATGCATGGGCATGAGAAAAAAAAAATAGATTTTAAGTTTCGGAAATAGTGCATCTTGTAATGCATTTTTGGACCATCAATTTTCAAGAGTTTCAAGTTTTCATAGATCTGCTCGGTCTACACTATTTTGGAAGCTTTAAATTTTATAATTAGAGATAAAAATATATTTTATGGCTATCACAAATATTTCCATTATTGAAACCACATTTCTCGACAATATTTGAAGGTGCGCTGTACTTTGATTGTTTAGAGCCTTGGCTCTATACAAACCACACCCATATATATATATATATAATTTTGGATTGTCATTTTGTTCAGAAAGAAATTTGTAAAATAGTTACATCTTTTTGCATATCAGCAGACAGTAATTTCATTTACCAAGCCAATGACATCAGAAAGACAGTTTCTAGTTGACAAACTCTCCCACATACATGTCCGGTCGAATTTGATTAAGGGTGTTAACATTTGTATTTGCATTTGGTCATTCTTTATTGTATAATACATTTATTTATAACCATTGAAGTGTAATCCATGGCACAATTTATAACTGTTAAATTGTAATCCATGGCTGGTCTAATAAGGGTGAGGACCTTAAACTTTCCCTTGACCCATCCCAAGCCCGGTTAAAAGAGGTGAGTTGCATCAGGTAGGCAGCCATCATAAAAGTTTGTCACATCTTATCGTGACTCCTGAATCTATGGAATGGAATGACAAGATTCATGTAGCCAACCCCAAAGCATTGGGACAAGGCTTGGATGATGATGACGACAATGTGTAATTGTGTGTCATGAAAAAAAAATAGAAACCTATTAATTTTCATAGGTGTTACAGGTTAGCTTTACAGATAACACTTTCATTCTTATAAAACATACAAATAGGTTTCCAGCATCATCAGATTGAACGGATAGTATTTTCACAGGCTACACAACAGATATAGATGTGTACTGTAACAGAAACCATCACATTTTCCTTTATTTTGAGGGAAAGGTGGCGGCTGATAGTACAGTGGTTTGTCTACCTTTTTCCCTGCTAAACAAATTAGACCCTCCGTAAAACTAAAAGGAAACCATAACCCGCATAATGTTGAACAACTTTTTTCACACCAAATAAATGATTCGCTAACTGCAGAGTTCACCCTTGATGAAAGATAAAACTTCAATGTACTTGACAAACAGAGACCTTCAAACCATTAGAGCACACAGAATGAGAGGAAAAATAAACCACAGGGTAAGACGAAGACACTTAAAAGCAGAAGAGGCTGGACAGAAAGCGGAAGGCGAAGACACTTAAAAGCACACGTTGAGAATCAATACATACTTAGAAATACGAATGCTAATAATATACTTCAATTCAAGGTACAAGAATACCATCTTTAAGATGGACATACCCTACTGATATTTATATCAGGACTCATCAAAAAGGCATCTGATATGAAATTTGTGTGCAGAAAAGAGAAGAGAAAAATGTGGAGAACATTAAGTAATTGAGGTATAAGAATTTTCAAGGACATCTACATAAAAAATGCCTAAGGTGTCGGGATGATTCATTGTTTACCAGGTTAAATCCACATATGATAAACAAAGAAAGAAAATGATAGAAAGAGAGAGCCAATTAACACAAATATGCACTTAATTAATACCAGAGAAGCTTCAATAAGTAACAGAATCAAATGATTACAGCCAATTCGAGCCACCAGACGAATATAACTGCCTATTTACAGCATGGGGGAAACCGGGTGAGTCTGAGAAACTTCAATCATGTTTTGTTGTAGAATATATAAACTACTCAAAATAATTCCTTATGATATTCACATTTTCTTGTTCTCGGAGCTTATTGGGTCCTAATAAAAGCAACAAGCAAATAACAAAAACAACTATTAATGCTTGAATTTTTAAACTATTCCTATCTGAACAGATGGAACACTGGCAGATATTTCAAGAGAAACCCAAAAAAATAAGAAAAGAACTGTAAAATTAGAAATACCACGATAATAGATACTTCAAGAAAAACCAGAACTTTGTTCAACAAATCAATTCATTGTAACTGTTCTTGTCAAACCCCGCAATAACATAAACAGAGAGAAAGAGAGATTGGGGGGAACCTGTTGAAAACTCCTCACTGTTTTCCCAATGCTACGACCAACTTCAGGGAGCTTCTTGGGTCCAAAAACTATAGCTGCAACGCCTGCTATCACGACTAGCTCTGGCACTCCAAGGCCAAACAAGCAGCGGCAGTTCAGCCCTGCATTACCATGGCTTCTTCTGTTTAGAGAGAAACTAGGGTTCTTCCTCATAAACTGCACACTGCTTCCATGGCCGAAGAAAAGAGAGTTAGACGAAGCAAGTGGGAGTGAAGTTGGGGATGAGAGGGAGGGAAGCAAGACAGAAGAAGCAGCGGCCACCATCTCTCTGTCCAGTGTCCAGACGGCAAAATCTTTGTCCCTCTCTACAGGGAAAAGCAAGGGCCCTTTACAATGTCGCCCACAACATATGGATAAATGATCAAATAGATTTTTTTCCTTGCTGCTTGCTTCTTCACCATATTATTCTTGCTCGGTTGCAAATTTGGAATGATTGCTATGCGGTCGGTCCTTAGGCTAGAGCCATCAATCCAAATTAATAAAAAATAAATTTGTACAGGTTCTAAACAATCAAATTAGAGCCCATTTTAATATTGGAAAGTTTTGTGGTAGCCTTAAATTGTATTTTCAGTTATAAAATTTAATTTTTAAAAAATTTATATAAATGTGAGGCTCTAAACAATCAAATTAGCCCGCTCCTCAATATTTTCACTAGAAGATGTTGTTTTGATGCTCAAATTGATCTTCACCTCGAGATGCATGGACACGAGAAAAAAATGGATTTCAAAATTTGAAAATAGTGTATCTTGTAATGCATGTTTGGACTATCAATTTTCGAGATTTTCAAGTTTTCATAGATTTGCTTGATCTACACTATTTTTTAAGCTTTAAATTTTATAACTAAAGATGAAAATATAGTTTAAGACTATCACAAAAACTTTTCAATATTAAAACTATGTTTCTCGATACTATTTGAAAGTGGGCTCAAATTTGATTGTTTACAGCCTATGCTCTATATAAACTTTTGGCATAAAGGGTGCCGTTTGTATAAAGAGCACCTTCAAATAGTGTTGAGGATTCATTCCACTGCCTTCTCTCTTCACTATCTAAAAATTGACACAAAAGAAAAGAAGTTACAGCATAGCCTCTCACTGGTTCTCTATCTAGAAATCTTAATTTTGGATTGTGTAAGCACTCAAGATGATTTGGTTCACAAAAAAAATAAAAAACCCAATCCCCATGAAAAATAAGAAACCAAACCCCATACTAAGAAACCAAAGCATGATTCCTCACCTGACATCAACACAATTTACTGCTTAAGCTTTTAGGTAGTTTTACTTCTCGTCAATTGGTGTTACACCTAAATTTTTCTATCCAAGCTTAATTACTCGGGGGCAATTACAAATTAAAAAAAATTAATTTTTTAAAAAAATAAAATAAAAAATAGTAAATATCAAAGTACGCTATGAACAACAAAAGAAGTCCAACTGAGATGAAAACTATAATATAAAAAATAGAACTAGAAAAGGTTTATCTATAGCGAGAGACACTTTAGAAAGAGACATTAGAAGAGAAAATAAATAAATGATGAGGTTTATGTATGGTTGCAACATTAAATAATCAAAGTTGGCGTACCTCGAAATTTTATCATAAGCTGTAATTTTGATGTTGAAAATTTTTAGGATAGTCCGAAAATTTATTTTCATATCTAATTATAAGATTTTGAACTCCAAAAGTGGTTTAAATCAAGCACACATGAAAATCTTGAAAAATGAATTGTCTAAATAATATGTTGCAAGATGTACTACTTTTTAAGACTTTAAATTATTTTATTTTAATTTTTTTATATTTATATATATTGATCAAGAGATAATCAATCAGAGGTTTTACAATGTCAAAATTACTTTTTTCCAAATGAGTTTTGATTTACTTCCACAATTTAAACATTATGTAAACTTTTTCCAAATATATATACAAGATATGTGACATTAAAACCTCACGCATGATAAAAAGCATTTGAATTACATATAAAATATTTATCCATTAATTTTACAATATAAAATGATTTTTAATTAGAAAATCAAGATTCATATCCAATTCACTCCAATAGCAAAAAAGAATTAAAGTTTTGTGCAATTAAGAAATCTAGAAGGATTATTATAAACAAAAACAATAACATAGAGGACCACACCACTACCTTCTCTTCTCTCTAGAAATCTTAATTTTGGATTGTTCAAGCACTCAAGGTGATTTGGTTCACATGTCTAAAATTATGGTTGTATATATCCTAAAATCAATTAGCTATTTAAATTAAGCATTTAATATAAAATAGTAAGTTTCCAATTAGGAAGTTTGGAGAATCTTTAATTTGGGAAGGTACGCTACTCCCTCTTTCTTCTTGGTATATAAACGCCACTCCTCTTATTATTCTAAGCACTTTACAGCAATTTCCTCTTCTTTTTTATCCCTAAGTTGTCCCTACAAGAATCGTAGAAACATAGGGTTTTTTTTTTTTTTTAAACTTTAAATCAGGATTCTCTCTCAACATACAAATCCTTGGCTTTCTCTTAAATAAACTTAGAAATCAAATTTTACCTTGTGTTAGACGCTCTTAAAAAGAGCTTGATCAAAAAATTAAATATTCACTCTTTGGTTCTTGCAAACGAAAGATAGATAGGTGAAAGGTAGGTATGCTGATACATTCATTGGTTCGTTTCTTTTTATTTTAACTACTTGTAAAATTTCATTGACTCAATGAATTTCTTATTACCATTAAAAAAATAAAAAAAATAAAGATAGAAAGTTTTTTCTCAAATAAACCTAGAAACTCAATTTTTGCCTTGTGCTAGATGCTCGTAAAAAGTGCTTAATCAAGAAATAGAATATTTGCTATTTGGTTATTGCAAATGAAAAATAGAAAGGTAAAAGGTATGTGCTATGATACGCTCATTGGTTCGTTTCATTTTATTTTAACTACCTGTACTATTTCATTGACTCAACAAAATTCTTATTTAATATTATATATACATAAAAAAAAGAAAAAAATATAAAAAGGTGAAACCTATGTAATGATGTACAAAAGATGAAGTGTTTTGAAAGTATGTTTAAGTTATGGTGTTGGGTTGCCTAGCCAGTTTAACATAATAATTATAAAAATTTAGGTGCATATTCTCTTAAAATATTATTTTTAAAATACGCCTCTTAAATTTTTAGGCTTATGTTGGTATTTTTTTCTCATTTTTTTTTAAATTTATCCAAAATGCTTTGGATCTTCACTATCTGAAATTATTTGTTACTCATTTTTTCTTTTTTGGTATGTTCTATTTTTTATCCTTTTTTTTGGATTTTCTAAAAATTCAAAGAACCCGATAATTTATTTTGAAAAATGATTTTTACAATTTTCTCTATTTTTTCCATTTTTCAATCTTATTATTTTCTTAATTGTTTAATTTATTATGCCGGTATGACTAGTGAACCAATCTAGTTCGGCCGGTCCAACTGGACCGCTGCCCTCATTAGTTTATACACCTGTCCAGTCTTGACAACATTGATTTAGCATCTTGATGGCTTTGAAAGAAGGATTTGCAAGGTCGTTAAATTTCCATGTTTTTTGGATAGTTAAATTTTCATAGTTGATATTTCTCTAAAAACCATACTTGCTCCCAAATTTCAAAATTCAAAGCGTTGCCACCGGTTTTCCCTTACTTAAATGCCATTGAATACTCTTATAAAATGGCTCGTCATCATCATCACATCCTTGTCCCAACTATTTGGGGTCCGCTACAGAAATCCTGGTTCACCATTATACTCTATCAAAGCCTATAGCATCAAGATGGCCATAAGCCTCAATATATTTCTCACTACGTCCAATCATGTCTTTTTGGGCTTACGCCTTGCCCAAGCTTTCTACTTGAACTAACTCGTACATTCTAATAAGTGTTGTAATGGGTATGTGCTGCATATGGCCAGCCCACCTAAATCTACTTTTTATCATCTTATCACTTATTGGAACCACACTTAAGTTATCCTCTAAAATGGCTAATTCCTAAAAATTTAACGGGAAGCCTGCTTCTGCACAACACCTTAAGGATATAAATGAACTAATCTACTCCATGGAGAGCTTCCTCTTTGATTAAAAGATGTGTTTATTTATTTATTTCTAATTAAATGCATGGTTCTCCTTTTCTGATAAATTTTATTTAGTTTAATTTCTTGTTATTTGCTCGTTTCTTCCTTTTTATTTTGTGAAATTCTTTGTTTTTTAAGTTATTTGTGTATGTTTTGATGTTTTTGCTCTCAATTTGGATTGGATTTTTTATGAGCTAGGTGCAATTCTAGTTATAACTTGAGACAATTTTGTAGAGATAAATTGTTGATTTTAAAGAAATTTATAGATAAAATGGTTGATTTTGTATATGAAAATAGTATATACAAGGGCGATGCTTTAAACAAGGTGCTCATCAAAAATTTACTAGGGGAGGTTGTTTTGATACTTAAAAATCCTCAATTTGATCATCCCGACCTCAAAAATATCTGGATGTGAGAAAAAATGGATTTCAAATATTAGAAATACTGCATCTTGTAATGTATTTTCTAAACCGTCAATATCTTAAGGACATCACCAAGATTTTTTTGTACTTAAACAACATGTTTCGACACTATTTGAAGGTACGTTTTATTTTGATTGTTTAGGGCCTCAGCCTTAACCAACCCACACCCTTTATAGATTTGGGCTCCAAATTTGAAAAATTCCACGTTCGACATCACTGTTGTAGAAATTTTCGATAGGTAACCAAACGTAGCATTTACTTCCGGATCTAAGAAGTAGGAATTGCAGGTACCATTTCCAACTTCCAGTTCCTGACGGCCCAAAGTTGTAACGACAGCAGATGGATAGAAATTCACACGGTTCCTGTGAATCTCCACCTTCACCATCGTATATTAACGGTGTCTTTCTTGCTAGTGTACCATTTATCATACACAACAACTGTATCTTTCCTTCCATAAAAGAGAAGTTATTTGCTCACATGTCTTTCGTTTCTTCCTCGCTTTTCCTATCGGTCCTGAATTTTTCATTAATGGTTTTCTCCTCATTGGTTTTCTTTTGCCCTAACTTACGGAGAGATGCTGGGTCTCTCATATTGTACGATTTTCCTCATATTGGGAGCAACCGCTGCTTTGATTGGTAAGCTTCTTCAACTGGGGTTCATCAAAAATTTTCCAGAATGTATGGCTTACAAAACCCTAAAGTTACGTTATTCATTTATTTATTAGGGTGTAGCCATTGAAATGTTTTTGAATTTTAGGTTATACACGACACTTATCATTCTATCTATAGATTATTTTACATGTCTTTTTTTTTTGTCAATTTATTCAATTTTGCACTGCACATTTGAAGTTGTAGTTCTTCAGACGAATTTAAGGTTTGAGTTTTGATGGGTGATTATGTTTTTATGGTATCCCTGTAACCAGTATTTCTGCTCGATGCAAAAGACGGAGACTCTGCATTTAATCATTTCGAGCCCAAGATGTATAGCCACGAGAACAAAAAAAGATTTCAAGTCCTAAAAATAATGTGTATTGTAGCACATTATCTAGACCTTTTGTAAAGTTTTAAGTGTTTGTAGACCTGCTTGATATACACCAATTTTTTGGAGCTTTGGATTTCATAATTAGGGGTAGATTTTTAAGTCATCATAAGCAGTTTTGTCACAAAAACTCCCTTTTTTAGCAATATTTAGAGTTGTGCCTTACTTTGATTGTTTAAGGTTGACAGCTGATACAAACCGCACCCAAGGCAAAGTAATGTGTTATATTTGAAGAGTACTTGTTAATGTTCAAGTGTTCAATTATTTATTCGTCCTGTAAAATTGCGTTTTCTATAATAATTCTTCATAAGAACTTCCATATTTTTCCAACTGGTACTAATATCAGTTTTTTTATGTAAAATAAATTTTTGGGTTATTTTTATAGGGCCCAAGGACCTACCTATAATTGCCAGAGCAGCAGGGAGGCTAGCAGGAAGAGCAGTGGGGCATGTGCAGAGTGCACGGGGTCATCTCCAAGATGTATTGCAAATGTCTCAAGCAAGTCAGGTATGAGATTTTGGGTTATTTTCTAATTTTCTCAGATTATATTGTTTTTATTAAAATTTTCATTTGATTGTATTCTTTCTTCTTGGCCCTTAGTCAATTACCAATAAGTTGGAAACCTGTTCATGGTACATTATATCAAAATGGAAAAGTATTGTATGATGGATTTTTGTTGTTTACCACTTTCACAATTGGAATTAATTTGCTGCATATTCGGTCACTTGCCATCAAAGAAAGAAATGATATTTCACTTGTTTCTGTATGGATGTGACAAAAAAAAAAAAGCTTAATAAAATGGGTTCTTAAAGATCTCAAACATTGTATTGGATATCAATACTGCATTTTGTTTGGGTATATTTTGATGTGCTTTGTGTGCTGAGTTCCGTGATTTTATCCTTTGAAGTAAGAGAAATAGGAGCCGTGCCATCCGGTGAACTGTATATAAATAGTAAAAGTTGAACACAACTATATTAGGAGTCTAGGGAGTTGTCCTATGTGAGTACATGACCTCCACACTGGAGAAATGTCTTTGTAGCCTTGATCCTACATTGTTTAGGTAAGTTTATGTATTCATGTTAATTTCTGATATTTCATACAAGGTTTTTGATGCACTATTGTGTAGAGATATAAATGAATTTCTTTGATGAATAAAAAGAAAAATATATCCCCATGTCTCTGTAGTGATTCTTGTTATTCAGGTGATTTATTTGCCATGACGGGTTTCATTTTTTGATGGTTAAGAGGGGTTTCTATATAGGATGGAGTGAAAGTTTTTGATGGCTCTATCGAAAAAAATTCTGGTAGGCAGTTGGCCTGTTCTGACAGTGTTTTTGGATTTGTGTTTAATCAAAACTTAAAACATTCCATGGAAAGGGGTGTAATGAATGGTTGGATGGTTTTTTTATTGGATTCTGGAAGTTATATCTGAATAATAAAATATGTTTTGCTCTTTTATGCTATTGGCTGTAACTTTTGTCTAATGGGAGCCCTGTGTCATTGATGCATTTGAAAGGTTCAAGATTCTTTTATGTTAGTGGGCTCATAACATTCATGAAGGTCAACTTGAAAGAAGATCAATCGAACTTGTTAGGGGGAATTGGAAAGATAAACAGTTTTAAGGATTACTATGATTTTGCTGTATAGATTTTGTGTTGTTGTGGGTGATGAATCCGGTGGTCCAACTATCCTCGAGTTGGACTGAACTCAATAAAAGCAAAAGATATGGTTTCCACTCTATGGACCAAATGTTACTCTATTCAAGCTTAGGGATTACCCCGTACTTAAAATGGAGAAATAGGTGGGAAGTGATGGGGTAACTAGGCATTTGACAAAGTCTATGAAAGAGAGTCAAGGGCCCTTGGTGGCAACCTACCAAGTTAATCTTTGTTTAGAATCTTTTTTCTTTTTTAAGAAAATGTCGTGGCAAATTGTGAAATAAAACTCTATTCCCTTAGGGTTGGGAGTCTTGGGTTTCACCAGCATAGGCATGAAGTTGCCTTGAAGCATGCCCCTAACCCATTACTAGATGATCATTCCTCTAGAAAACCCAAAAAAAGAAAGAAAAAGAAAGACTAAATTGTTAAATCTATGGCAAGAAGACAAATAGTGCCCATGAATCTGATGCCAACAAGCTTTCAAAACAACAACGTAGATATAATAATTAAAGAAGCATTTAAAGAACATCGAAGGTATATTAGAAGGTGGATAAGATTGCAAGAGTTAAAAGATGAACATTACCACCACATATCCACATAAGACACAACAAACTCATAGGTTTGGAGCATAATTAAACTACATGCGTATGCATGAAAGCATTTAAATGACCAACTGACATAAACTCTGGCTAGGAGCATAGAGTAGACTACATGAGTATGCATGGATGCATTTAAATGGTCAATACACGTGCATATAAATTCTAGCAATCTATTACCAAACTCAAATGCGAACACCACTAGAAATCCCCTGATAGGAGGTCAATATTGTGTTTCCAAATACCAAGAAGAAGAACCCATCAACATCCATAGGAGATATGGAGCTTTGTGCATAATTAAACAATTATAGCAGTGGTTCAAGGTGAGGGAAATATGACCAATTAAGTAAAAGTAAGAGATTAGTTGGGAAAATGCTTTGATGATGATGATGAAGTAAAAGTGAGAGATTGGGCTGATATCTAGACAGGTAAATTATGGGTTTTAGGATGAAAAGAATGGCAAATTCTGGGTGCTATTGTCAGAGAGAAGAATTGGCTGGTCTGAGTTTCAGGGAATGAATCTTGGGAGAGAAAGTGGGCCCATAGTCTTGAGAAGGAAACATGAAGCAACTTGGCTAAATCCTTGAGAGAGGAAATGGTGTTCTTGGGGATGCTCCATGAGTGCTGGGTAATTGAGAGAATGGGACATACTGTGCTTTTGGTGGTCCAGGAGGCTTTATTGGTCTCAAGGATGGTATGGAGCAGTTAACTTGTCAAGGTTTCTCCCCCCTCAAAACTCACGGACGCACTACTTTAAGTAAATTTAAACATTCTATTGCAAAGTAATCGCTAAGAAGACCTTTTTTTCGATGAGAAAACAAGGAAAAGATACCTGGCAATTAGATTTCCTTTGGGAACATTGTTGATCTCGTTGTTTCAACCAAAACTAATAATACTCCTCAATCTGATAGGTTAAACTCCAGGTCCATCTTGTTCTTGCTAATTTTCGATTGAAGGTGGATTGGACTGGAGAATGACCCAACCTGTCCACACTATCCTATAGCCTGGTCTTGTTTGATCCATTAAACCTTTTTGGATATATGGCATTTGAGAATGTTTGGTTGGATTAGATGTGTTCACTACTTCACATCCTAGACGTGGATGGGAAGCAACATGAGCATATAGCAGGCAGGTGTGTAGTCCTGTATTCATCAGCTAAGAACTAAGGATAGAGTTTTGTGGATGTCTACTCATCTCGATAAACTTAATATTTACTTCTGTCATTTTGTATTCTATGTGTACATGCAATTTCTTGTTTATTTTTAGATATCCTCGTTGAGAATCGTCATCACAATATCTCTTTCTTCTACGTTGTGTTCCTAACCTCCTCATTCTTTATTCTTTAGGTGCAAAAGGAACTTCAAGATACATTGGCACAATTACATGCAATTCGCTATGAAATCAGAAGCTTATGGATCATCAATCCCACTCCAATGACACGGAGTCTTGATCATACAGAAGTTACACTAAGTAGTGTACAGATGGAGATGTTGTTTTGATACTCAAAAATCCTCAAATCAAACATCTCGACCTCAAGATGCATGGATATGAGAAAAAATGGATTTCAAAGCTTAGAAATACTGCATCTTGTAATGTATTTTCTAGACCGTCAGCATCTTAAGGACAGTGCCAAGATTTTCTGTACTGAAACAACATCTTTCGACACTATTTGAGGGTGCGTTTTATTTTGATTGTTTAGGGCCTTAGCCTGATCCAAACCACACCATTTATATTTGGCCTCCAAATTTGCAAAATTCCATGTTCGACATCACTGTTGTCGAAATTTTCGATAGGTAACCAAACGTAGTATTTACTTCCGGATCTCAAAAGTAGGAATTGCAGGTGCCATTTCCAACTTCTAGTTCCTAAACGCCCCAAAGTTATATAGACTAACAGTATTCCCAATGATAGGAATTCACACGGTTCCTGTAAATCTCCACCGTTCAGCATCGTATATTAACGGTGTCTTTCTTGCTAGTGTACCATTTATCATACACAACTAGTTTATCTTTCCTTCCTTAAAAGAGAAGTTCTTTGCTCATATGTCTCTCGTTTCTTCCTCGCATTTCCTATCGGTCCTGAATTTTTCATTAATGGTTTTCTTCTCATAGGTTTTCTTTTGCCCTAACTTACAGAGAGATGCTGGGTCTCTCATATGGTGAGATTTTCCTCATATTGGGAGCAACCACTTCTTTGATTGGTAAGCTTCTTCAATTGGGGTTCATAAAATTTTTTCCAGAATTTATGGCGTACAAAACCCTAAAGTTTCGATATTCATTTATTTATTAGGGTGTAGCCATTGAAATGTTTTTGAATTTTAGGTTATACATGACACTGATCATTCTATCTATAGATTATTACGTGTCTTTCTTTTTTGGCAATGTATGCAATTTTGCACTGCACATTTGAAGTTGTAGTTATTCAGACGAATTTGAGGTCTGAGTTTTGATGGGTGATTATGTTTTTATGGCATCCCTGTAACCATTATTTCTGCTTGATGCAAAAGACAGAAACTCTGCATTTAATCATTTCGACCCCGAGATGTATAGATATGAGAAAAAAAAGGATTTCAAGTCCTAAAAGTAATGTGTATTGTAACACATTATCTAGACCGTCCATTTTGTAAAGTTTTAAGTGTTTATAGACCTGCTTGATATACACCAATTTTTTGGAGCTTTGGATTTCATAATTAGGGGTAGATTTTTAAGTCATCATAAGTATTTTTGGCATGAAAACTGCCTTTTTAGCAATATTTAGAGGTGTGCCTTACTTTGAATGTTTAAGGTTGACACCTGATACCAACTGCACCCAAGGCGAAATAATGTGTTGTATTTGAATGGTACTTGTTAATGTTCATGTGTTCAATTATTTATTCGTCCTGTAAAATTGCGTTTTGTATAATAATTCTTCTGAAGAACTTCCATATTTTTCCAACTGGTACTAATATCGGTTTTTTTTTTTATGTAAAATAAATTGTTGGGTATTGTTTTAGGGCCCAAGGACCTACCTATAATTGCCAGAGCAGCAGGGAGGCTAGCAGGAAGAGCAGTGGGGCATGTGCAGACTGCACGTGGTCATCTCCAAGATGTATTGCAAATGTCTCAAGCTCGTCAGGTATGAGATTTTGGGTTATTTTCTAATTTTCTCAGATTAAGTTGTTTTTATTAAAATTTTCATTTGATTGTATTCTTTCTTCTTGGGCCTTAGTCAATTACCAATAATTTGGAGACCTGTTCATGGTACATTATATCAAAATGGCAAAGTATCATATGATGGATTTTTGTTGTTTGGCAATTGGAATTAATTTGCTGCATATTCAGTTACTTGAAAATAGGATTACATACCCCTGACCAGGAAACCAGAGCATGATTCCCCACATGATATCTTGGAATTCAACACAAGAATTTGGATTACAAACCCCAGACAAGGAAACCAGAGCATGATTCCAGTTATGATCGAAATGGATTAAAACAAGAATTTGGAAAATAGCAATCACCATATATGGAAGAGATTAATATCAGGTAATTAATCACTTCGAACAAGGATCGTTCATTGAGGAGATTACTAAGAATGGCCAATTCCAGCAAGTATTTCTCTTACATCTATAAAATAGAATATGGGAAAAACAGTTCTAAGGTCATAGGTTCTCTCTTACATCAAGACACAAAAAAACCAAAGAAGACAACTTTTATAACAATAATTCAAGACACAAAAAAACCAAAGAAGAAAACTTTTATAACAATTATTCAGTTGGCAATGGGCAACTGGTAACGGCACACCGAACAGCTACTTCCATTCTCTAGTCAAGTGAGAATGCACTCCCCATGACATCTGTGCGAACAAGGCATCGTCCTTGCATCAACTGTTCTGGAATCCATCTCACATATGCAAATGATGGAGATAACCTCTTCATCCTCTTCAATATCTACCCTCTCGAAGGACTCCACTGCATACCTAGAAACAAAAGATGGTGCTTCGTCTTCAACTATATCTTCTACCTCTCTCACAATCTCCATCCACAATTTTACCACAAGTGGTTCTTGGGGTGCCATGGGCTCTCTATTAATGACCTCTAATTTCTCCCAGAATTTATTAGTGAGATAATCTATTACATGATTGATGATTTGGTAGGCCACATCCATACGATGGAACCTATCCTTCAAAAAATGATAAGTGATTGGTCTGGTGTTTAGCCATTGGGTAGAGGTTATGATGGTGATACGCTTGTTATCTTGCTGAGTAGGGAGTAAACTAGTGAACGTTATGCGCTGAGACAGGCCATTTTCGAAGATTATGCTTCCTTTTATCGGGCCTTCAGGGTCAACAATCGGGGAATGCAACCTTACTCGTTCGCTTTCCAGTTTACCCATGCAGAAGCCATTCAAGCTGTTGGTGCGGAAATAGTCCATAGTAGCAAGAAGTTGGTGGACCTGCAAGTGAAGCTGAAGTTCTGAACAAAGGAGATGGAAAGAGGGAAATTCAATTTTGGTATCTGCATAAATATCCCTCATATTTATTGCAATTTGAAAGCTTTACTCAATATTTTACATCTACGTTCATGTCCGACTGTTTCAGACATGGTTGCCCTAAGACCGATAATGTCTCTCTTTATTAACAATGTCATCCATGAGCTTTAGATTTCGTAGGAAATAAGACGGTCTCTGCAATATTCCTATTGTCTTTTTAATCAAATTCTTAGAGGGGTAATTCTGAGAAATTAATTCTTCCTAGAAATACATAATTCTTTGAATATTGAGTTTACTTTCTTGATGAGCTAGGATTAACGCATGCCTCTCTTTTGTATTAGATTCATCTGGTACGCCTTTTGTGAAATATATAGACAAACAAAACAGAGTTCCTACTAACGAATCAATTTTTTATGTAAAAAACAAGAAGGAAAAAAAGAATCGTACATGGCTTGTGTTTTTTCTTTTGTTCTTCTTCTTTATTTTCGGTGTCGATAGATATTTGAAATCGTTTTATTTGATTTATGTGGTTATCAAGAGCCTCCCTATGTTGCTTTCATCCCAAAATTCGAAGAATTGTTTGTAACTTTTTTTAATGATCTCAGTTTTTAAAATATTCATTTAATTATTTCTTAAAAAACATCTTGCCATGTAATGATCTGAGTGTTGAAAATCGATCATCTTAATTTATCAAAAATATCCGAAAAGATTATTAAAGTGAAGTTGAAAATATTTGGGTGGTTAACAAAGTATTGAATGTAATTAGTAACCAGTTAATCTTTTGAAAAGATGAAACTCATGTACAAAAATAATACATAAATCAGAACATACCTTCGGAAATGGTTCATGCCACTAGTGTCTCCTGAGAAAATCTCAGCCCTTCATTATTCATTTAAGATAAGCAAATAAATTTTGATTTACAAGAAAAGGAAGATTACAATCACAAATGGATATCTTAAAAAGAGATATCTTAAAAAGAGTATGACGTAATAGGGATATGGTATTTGGTTTAAATGGAGCCAAAAGATATTGGATAAATTACACACCTATCCGTCATTAAAGAGTTGTTACAATTTTACTTAAAATTTTCACATATTACATTTAAATTTTTGGACATTATATGCATATCCGTTCTTAGGAGTCCCAATTTTTTTTTCCAATATTGTCTTATTTTTGGATATTAAGGATCCGAAATAAAGAAAGAATTCAGAACTTCAAGGTCCAAAATTTCCCTATTTCTAGATCTTTAGGATTCCCAAAAAAAAAAAAATCCATACAATCAATGTCTGGAATATAAAACATTTCGTATTCTGAAATTGTATATTTTATATTTTATTATTTTTGGATTATAAAATTTTAAAAATTAAAAATTTCAAATTTTGAAAATTCAACAAATTCAATCATCGAGTTCACGCATTATCTTAATTTATCAAAAATGTTTGAGCAGATTACTAAAATCTTCGGGTGGTTAACATGGCATTTAATTGTAATTACTAACCAGTAAATCTTTTGAAAAGATGAAATTCATGTACAAAATAATATAGAAATCAGTACATACCTTCGGAAATGGTTCACCTCTCTATTTTTTGTTCTTATCTCGCTACAAGAACAAAGTATTGATCAGTGGCACAAACCAGGAATGGAAATATGTTCTTGTATGCATTAAATAGGTTTCAAACTAACTCGAGTAAAAATAAGAGTTCCTACACGACCAGTGTTTACCATCATGCCACTAGTGTTGCATAAGAAAATCTCAGCCCTTCAATATTTATTTCAAATAAGCAAATAATATTTGGTCTACAAGAAAAAGGGATATCTTAAAACCGTGTATGACGTCATAAGGATATGCGATTGGTTTAATGGGAGCCAAAAAATATTGGAAAAATTACACATATATCCGTCATGTAAGAGTTAATACAATTTTACTTAAAAGTTTTACTTATTATATTTAAAATTTTGGATATTACATATATATCCGTTGTTAGGAGCCCCGAATTTTTTTCCAATATTGTCCTGTTTTTGTATAATTATGATCCGAAATAAAAAAAGAATTTGGAACTTTAAGATCCGAAATTTACCTAGTTTTGAATCTTTAGGATCCCAAAAAAAAATTCCTGACTATCAAAGTCCAAAATTTCCCTACTTTCACAGTACTTTAGTATCCGAAATAAAAAATATTTCGGACTCCGAAATTATAAATTTTTTATTTTATAATTTTTGAATTTTTAAAATTTTTAAAATTCGAAAAATTCAATCATTCTTAGTTCACGCAAAAATAAATTTCGGATTTTGAAAATCCAAAAAAGGATAATTTGATCATTCTTTAAATTATTGGCAAAATGTTGTAATAACAGTAATAAATTAGAATTTTACCTAAAATTTTCATTTATTACATTTGATATTTTGGATATTACATGTACACCTGTTCTTAGGAGCCCCTAATTTTTTTTTCCTATATTTCTTTATTTTTGGATATTGAGGATCCGAAATAAAAAAAATAAAAATTTAGAAGTTAAAGGTCCAAAATTTTCCTATTTTCATATCATTAGGATTAAAAAAAAAAAAAAAATCCAGTCTATCAAAGTTCGAATTTTCCCTATTTTTAGATCTTTAGTGTCCGAAATAAGAAACATTTTGGACTCTATTGTAGATTTTTTATTTTATAATTTTTAAATTTTTAAAATTTTAAAAATTAAAAAATATCAGATTTTAAAAATCCAAAAAAAATTGAAGCACTTCAGCTCACGCAAAAATTTCGAAGCACTCCGTAGTATTTTAAATGGAAATTTGCTAACTATAGTGACTCGTCACTAAACTCGTATTTAACATTACCTCATTCTCTCCCAGGGCCACTCACAAGAAGCATATTGGGCCATATTATATTGTTGTGCTTTGGATTCCTTTTGGTATCCTATTTTTTGTTATTAGACGAGCTAGGGTTTGTGTGACTGAGAGAGGGCTTGTGAATTTTATAGACATGATCTAAATGGGAAAATTGTTTCATGAGGACTAGACCGCATGATATCGCAAAAAGTGCAAAGCATCTAGATGGATGCAAGTATGTGTTCTATCTAAAAATAATGAAAACTAACAGGTTAAATGTTTTCTTACAAAAAATAGGACGAACATATGTGGTATGTTTATTTATAAAGTTATAATGGGGAAACTTAAAATCAATTTTGAAAAGAAAATAACATGGGGTTAAGCCAATTAAAGCTCATAAGGAATCAACTAAACTATAATCAACATAAGAGGCCTTTATTTATTTATTTGGGTACCTCCTAAAAAATACTATTATAATACTAAAATTTCCCCAATTATCATAAAGAGCCTAAATTGTCTCTATTCAAAGTTTTTTTTTATTTTTTTTAGGTAATTTAGTGGGAAAGGTATGCCCTTACCCGTTTTGAAGTTAGGCTAGTTACATTTTGAAGGTGTCAATTGATGGTGTCAGCAGTAGGAATGGATACCACAATATAGTAACTAGGTGTGAGGATACTACCACCACGACCTAGCACCTTTCCTATTCAAAGTTAATAATCATGCATAGACATGAGCATTTTAGTAATTTGACCTGCCTGAGAAGGCCCAACCAAATAACTAGAATAGCCCAACTTCTTCATGTGAATGAAATTAGTGAAATGTCAATATTTGTTTATTTACGGTTGTAATCCCAAATATGAGTAATTTGGGTAATCTTAAAGATTTTTCTTGATGAGGAAGTTGAATGAAATAAAAAAGAAAAATATCTCCATACGTCTCATTTTTTAGTTTTATATCTCAATAGACTGGATGTTTCAAAATATATATTAGGTCATAAAAATTCTAAGTTTTATATCTTTTAACTTCCCAAGCAAACTTTATCCCCTTTGAACTTATTTTTTTGTTCCAAACAAATATAAGAAAGACATATCTTTTCTAAACACCATCATTTCTCTCTCCACAATATTTTCCCTAAATCTTATTCTCTCTACCTATTTTTCAACTCTCTCTTCTCGTATCTCTCACTCTCTTTCTCCTCCATTAGAGGGAAAAAAAAGGTGAATGTTAGAGAGAGAAATTTACGAGGGAATATATCACGAAAAGAGAATGTGGGTTTAAAATGAACATGCCTTTTTTATATTTGTTAAGGCTAAAAAAATAATTAAAAGTGGATAAAATTAGTCAAGGGGTTAGGAGATATATTTTGATCTATTGAGATATAAAAACAAAAATAAGAGGTACGAGGATAATTCTCCAAATAAAACTTAAAAAAATAAATTGATTAATTGGGGTTTTTATTGCTTAATGACTTTGCAAGGGGATTTGACCCCTTAAATCATATTTACCAATGGAAAACGAAAGAAGAACAACACGAGCCCTAATAAGTTCTCATTCTTTCCACCATCGAGCCCCTTGAACTGCTAGGATTCATGAACTTGGGCCACCTTCAATGTGAAAACTCGGTTTATGATGGGAAGGGCTTTGATAATTCAACGACACAATCTTACTAATTATAATATTATACTAGAGGTCGCGATACGTATCACGAGAGAGCTCACCTAATTTTTTAAAAATAGAAAATTTACTCTCGGTGTGAAAATAATTGCAGAATTACCATGTGGTTCATGGTTGCCCCGATTTTATGCGAAAGTCATTCTTTTTGTGGTTTTTTTCTTCTAATTTATTCAATTTCATGAATTCTAGGGCAGTATGATGCCCTAGGTATCGGGTTGCCCCATTTATGGGATAATTCAATATTAGAACATCGAATTGCCCTAAGATTGGGGCAGTTCGGTATTCTAAAGATCTGTACGTATGGAGCAGTCCAATGTTTTTAATATCAGACATCTCCATCTATAACATTTCTTTTTTTTCTTTTCGTTCTTTGCTTGTATGAAAATAATTCACAGTTGGATGGTGGGTGCAAAGATTTGTTATGCAACTTCTACCTTTTAAGTTCTAGTGTTATTTTTTGTTCATTTATTTATCGTTATCGGTTGAATCCTAGCCAAAATTTTGGTATTTCCCATTATAAATGTTATTTTGTTGTTACACATTTAAACAAAAAACAAAATTGGAGAGATTCTAAAAAGGTGCAAAGGAGATTTATTTTGGTCAAATCCCAGACCATAATAAAGGAATTTCTTTGCATTTTTAAATAACATTGGATTAACGTGTTTTAATAAGAAAAATAAATAACAGCGTTTGTTTTGTAACACATTTAATAAGTCGTGGAATGACCATATGGTCCCCAGCCAAAAAAACCCTGGTAATGACTTCTAAACGAGCTAGGGATGGGTATAGGTCTTCTTGATAAACTTGGCAAAACTTCGAACACATGGTGTTCAACTAAGCCCAAGTGCGGTGAAAGGCCTGGCTTCATATGCAAAAAAGTGCCTCCTGAAGTTAGGTGTGATAATATCAATTGATCTCACTCATAATTTGATATTTTTTAAATGTTGAGAAAATATAGTAATAACGGATATAAAATGGGTAGGTTAGTAATAACGGAAAATGTTATGTCTCTTTTTAAATAAACCAAGAAACTATATTTCTGGCTTGTGCTATAAGCTTTCAATGGAGTTATTTTAATTTCACCTAAATATTCTTATTATTACTACTCTACCCATTTTATATATGTTATTATAAAATTTTGCCAATAACTTAAAAAATACTAAATTGTTATTTTTGGAGTTTCAAAATTCACAATTTATTTTTGCATGAACTAAGTATGATTGAATTTTTCAGATTTTCAAAATATAAAATTTTTTAATTTTCAAAATATAAAATTTTTTAATTTTCAAAATTCAAAAATTATAAAATAAAAATCAACAATTTCGGAGTCCGAAATGTTTTTTATTTTAGATACTAAAGATTGAAAAATAGAGAAATTCCGGATTTTGATATTCCGATTTTTTTTTTTTTTTTTATTCTTAAAGATTTGAAATAAAGGAATTTCAGACCTTTAAGTTCTGAATTTTTTTATTTTAGATCCTGAAGATCGAAAAATAGGGAAATATTGGAAAAAAAAATAATTGGGGCTCCTAAGAACGGGTATACATGTAATATCCAAAATTTCGAATGTAATAAGTGAAAGTTTTAGTTGTAATAGCGTTTAAAATAATGGATGTATATATAATTTTTCCGAAAAAAAATCCTTAATTATACCATCTATGCACTTGAAAAAAATAATGACTCAGTTCATTAAAGATCATTCAAATTTTTTATGTTGAGATTTAAGTGTAAGAAGACTCTGATTTCAAATTTTTCTTATGATAATAATTATCAAGTGATTATTAGGTGATTAGCAAAATTTCAAGTTGGAAAAAAAATCCTCCCAAATAAATATTCTGACCGAGGGAGTAGAAGTAAACTATACTTCCTTAAGGGCATAGTGTCCATTATTTTAAAGGAAAAAATATTATAAATATTTATTTAGTTTAGTTTCTTGTTATTTGCTTCTGTTTACGTTTCTTCCATTTTATTTTGTGAATTTCTTTGTTTTTTAAGTTATTTGGGTATGTTTTGATTTTGTGAATTTCTCTGTTTTTTAAGTTAATTGGGTATGTTTTGATGTTTCAACTCTCAATTTGGATTGGATTTTTTATGAGCTAAGTGCAATTTTAGTTATAACTTGAGACAATTTTGTAGAGAAAAATTGTTGGTTTTAAAGAAATTTACGAATAAAATGGTTGATTTTATGTAGGGAAAGAGTTTATATGAGGGTGATGTTTTAAACAATCAAATTAAGACGCACATCAAAAATTCATTAGAAGACGTCATTTCGATACCCAAAAATCATTAAATCGATCATCCCGACCTTAAGATGTCTGGATATGAGAAAAAATGGATTTCAAGTCTTAGAAATAATGCATCTTGTAATTTATTTTCTAGACGGTCAACATTTTAGGGACATCACCAAGATTTTAAGTACTGAACCAACATCTTTCGACACTGTTTGAGGGTGCGCTTTATTTTGATTGTTTAGGGCATTAGCCTTACCTAAACCACATCGTTTAGGGAAAATGTTTCTATACTTATCCTACAATATAGAAGATCTATGCTTCCCCTACCATCCAGCCGTCCAATTTTGATCAAGAGAGTCACTCAATGTTTGATCTTAGATCCGACGTCTCAAAGCATTTTATTTTTTGTCTTTTTTATACAAATTGTATGATTATGAAATTTGGTTCATGCCATCATCTCATTGGGCCGCACCTATTAAAAATATTAAAACTAAATTTTCAATAAAATATCATGACCAAAATACCCTTTGAAACTTTCAAAGGGTTTTGATCATTTTATTTTATTAAAAATATTTTTTAATATTTTTCGCTCGTACAAGTTTAATAGAGGATTGGACGTCCAAAATTAAGTGTCAAAATAGTTTATAGAAACAAATTTAAAAATAAAATAGTATAAAGACGAGACATTGAGATTGGGGCAATCTTAGCCTTCCATTCAAAATGGATTGGCTGAGGGATTACACCATAGGGGAAGCATTGGGCTCCAAATTTTTGCAAAATTCTGGGCTCCAAATTTGCAAGCTTCCATGTTGAAACATCACTGTTGTAGAAATTTTCGACAGGTAACCAAACGTAGTATTTAAATCCGGATCTCAGAAGTAGGAATTGCAGGTATCATTTCCAACTTCTAGTTCCTAGACGCCCCAAAGTTATATAGACAGCAGAGAGTAACAGTATTCCCAATGATAGGAATTCACACGGTTCCTGTAAATCTCCACCGTTCAGCATCGTATATTAACGGTGTCTTTCTTGCTAGTGTACCATTTATCATACACAACTAGTTTATCTTTCCTTCCTTAAAAGAGAAGTTCTTTGCTCATATGTCTCTCGTTTCTTCCTCGCATTTCCTATCGGTACTGAATTTTTCATTAATGGTTTTCTTCTCATAGGTTTTCTTTTGCCCTAACTTACAGAGAGATGCTGGGTCTCTCATATGGTGAGATTTTTCTCATATTGGGAGCAACCGCTGCTTTGATTGGTAAGCTTCTTCAATTGGGGTTCATCAAATTTTTTCCAGAATTTATGGCTTACAAAACCCTAAAGCTTCGATATTCATTTATTTATTAGGGTATAGCCATTGAAATGTTTTTGAATTTTAGGTTGTACACGGCACTTATCATTTTATCTTTAGATTATTTTACATGTCTTGTTTTTTTTGGCAATATATGCAATTTTACACTGCACATTTAAAGTTGTAGTTATTCAGACGAATTTGAGGTTTGAGTTTTGATGGGTGATTATGTTTTTATGGCATCCCTGTAACCAGTATTTCTGCGCGATGCGAAAGACAGAGACACTGCATTTAATCATTTCGACCCGGAGATGTATAGATATGAGAAAAAAAGGATTTCAAGTCCTAAAAGTAATGTGTCTTGTAACACATTATCTAGGCGGTCCATTTTTTAAAGTTTTGAATGTTTATAGAACTGCTTGATATACACCAATTTTTTGGAGCTTTGGATTTCATAATTAGGGGTAGATTTTTAAGTCATCGATAGTATTTTTGGCACGAAAGCTGCCCTTTTTAGCAAGATTTAGAGGTGTGCCTTACTTTGAATGTTTAAGGTTGACACCTTATACAAACCTCACCCAAGGTAAAATAATGTGTTATATTTGAATAGTACTTGTTAATGTTCATGTGTTCAATTATTTATCCATCCTGTAAAATTGCATTTTCTATAATGATTCATCAGAAGATCTTCCATATTTTTCCAACAGGTACAATATCAGTTTTTTTTATTCTAAATAAATTGTTGGGTTATTTTTATAGGGCCCAAGGACCTACCTATAATTGCTAGAGCAGCAGGGAGGCTAGCAGGAAGAGCAGTGGGGCATGTGCAGAGTGCACGGGGTCATCTCCAAGATGTATTGCAAGTGTCTCAAGCTAGTCAGGTATGAGATTTTGGGTTATTTTCTAATTTTCTCAGATTATATTGTTTTTATTAAAATTTTCATTTGATTGTATTCTTTCTTCTTGGGCCTTAGTCAATTACCAATAAGTTGGAGACCTGTTAATGGTTCATTATATCAAAATGGAAAAGTATCGTATGATGGATTTTTGTTGTTTACCACTTTCGCAATTGGAATTAATTTGCTGCATATTCGGTTACTTGCCATTAAAGAAAGAAATGATATTTTACTTGTTTCTGTATGGATGTGACAAAAAAAAAAAGCTTAATAAAACGGGTTCTTAAAGATCTTGAACATTGTATTGGATAACAATATTGCGTTTTGTTTGGGTATATTTTGATGTGCTTTATGCGTTGAGTTCTATGATTTTATCCTTTGAAGTAAGAGAAATAGGAACCACGCCAACTGGTGAACTGTATATAAATAGTAAAAGTTGAACAAGAGTGTAGTAGGAGTCTAAGAATTGTCCTATGTGAGTGCATGACCTCCACACTGGAGAAATGTCTTTGTAGCCTTTATCCTACATTGTTTAGGTAAGTTTATCTATTCATGTTAATTTCTGATATTTCATACAAGGTTTTTGATGCACGATTGTGTAAAGATATAAATCAATTTCTTTGATCAATTAAAAGAAAAATATATCTCCATGTCTCTGTAGTGATTCATGTTATTCAGGTGATTTATTTGCCATGACGGGTTTCATTTTTTGATGGTTAAGAGGGGTTTCTATATAGGAGGGGGTGAAAGTTTTTGATGGCTCTATCGAGAAAAAATCTGGTAGGCAGTTGGCCTGTTCTGACAGTGTTTTTGGATTTGTGTTTTAGTCAAAACTTAAAAAATTTCTTGGATAGGGGTGTAATGAATGGTTGGATGGTTTTTTTATTGGATTCTGGAAGTTATATCTGAATAATAAAATATGTTTTGCTCTTTTATGCTATTGGCCGTAACTTTTGTCTAATGGGAGCCCTGTGTTATTGATGCATTTGAAAGGTTCAAGGTTCTTTTATGTTAGTGGGCTTGTAACATTCATGAAGGTCCACTTGAAAGAAGATCAATTGAACTTGTTTGGGGGAATTGGAAAGATTAACAGTTTTAAGGATTACTATGATTTTACCCTATAGATTTTGTGTTGTTGTGGGTGATGAATCCGGTGGTCCAACTATCCTCGAGTTGGACTGAACACAATAAAAGCAAAAGATATGATCTCCACTCTAGGGACCAAATGTTACTCTATTCAAGCTTAGGGATTACCCCGTACTTAAAATGGAGAAAAACGTGGGAAGTGATGGGGTAACTAGGCCTTTGACAAAGTCTATGAAAGAGAGTCAAGGGCCCTTGGTGATAACATACCAAGTTAATCTTTGTTTAAAATCTTTTTTCTTGTTTAAGAAACAAATTGTGAAATAAAACTCCCTTAGGGTTGGGAGTCTTGGGTTTCACAAGCATAGGCATGAAGATGCCTTGAAGCATGCCCCTAACCTATTACTAGATGATCGTTCCTCTAGAAAACCCAAAAAAGAAAAGAAAAAGAAAGACTAAATTGTTAAATCCATGGCAAGAAGACAAATAGTGCCCATGAATCTGATGCCAACAAGCTTTCAAAACAACAACGTATATATAATAAATAAAGAGGCATTTAAAGGACATCGAAGGTATATTAGAAGGTGGATAAGATTGCAAGAGTTAAAAGATGAACATTACCAACACATATACACATAAGGCACACCATACTCATAGGTTTGGAGCATGGTTAAACTCATGAGCATGCATGGAAGCATTTAAATGACCAACTGACATAAACTCCTAGGCTAGGAGCATAGATTAGACTACATGAGTATGCATGGAGAAATGAACAATACACGTGCATATAAATTCTAGCAATCTATTACCAAACTAAAGTGTGAACACCACTAGAAATTCCCTGATAGGAGGTCAATATTGTGTTTCCAAATACCCAGAAGAAGAACCCATCATCCATAGGAGATATGGAGCTTTGTGCATAATTAAACTATTATAGCAGTGGTTCAAGTTGAGGGAAATATGACTAATTAAGTAAAAGTAAGAGATTTAGTTGGGAAAAGGCTTTGATGATGATGATGGAGTAAAAGTGAGAGATTGGGCTGACAAACTATTAAAGAGAGGGCATGAGAGATTGGACTGATATCTAGAGAGGTAAACTATGGGTTTTAGGGATGAAAAGAATGGCAAATTCTGGATGCTATTGTCAGAGAGGAGAATTGGCTGGTCTGAGTTTCAGGGAATGAATCTTGGGAGAGAAAGTGGATCCATAGTCTAGAGAAGGAAACATGAAGCAACTTGGCTTAATCCTTGAGAGAGAAAATGATGTTCTTGGGGATGCTCCGTGAGTGCTGGGTAATTGATAGAATGGGACATACTGTGCTTTTGGTGGTCCAGGAAGCTTTATTGGTCTCAAGGATGGTATGGAGCAGTTAACTTGTCAAGGTTTCTTCCCCCTCAAAACACACGGACACACTACTTTAAGTAAATTTGAACATTCTATTGCAAAGTAATCGCTATGAAGTCCTTTTTTTCGATGAGAAAACAAGTTAAAAGATACCTGGCAATTAGATTGCCTTTGGGAACATTGTTGATCTCGTTGTTTCAACCAAAACTATAAATCCTCCTCAATCTGATAGGTTAAACTCCAGGTCCATCTTGTTCTTGCTAATTTTCGATTGATGGTGGGTTGGACTGGAGAATGACCCAACCTGTCCACACTTTCCTATAGCCTGGTCTTGTTTGATTCATTGAACCTTTTTGGATATATGGCATTGTAGAGTGTTTGGTTGGATTAGATGTGTTCACTACTTCACATCCTAGACGTGGATGGGAAGCAACATGAGCATATAGCAGGCAGGTGTGTAGTCCTTTATTCGTCAGCTAAGAATTAAGGGTAGAGTTTTGTGGATGTCTACTCATCTCGATAAACTTAATAATTACTTCTGTGGTTTTGTATTCTATGTGTAAATCCAATTTCTTGTTCATTTTTAGATAGCCTCATTGAGAATCGTCATCACAATATCTCTTTCTTCTACGTTGTGTTCCTAACGTCCTCATTCTTTATTCTTTAGGTACACAAAGAACTTCAAGATACCATGGCACAATTAGATGCAATTCGCTATGAAATCAGAAGCTTACGGATCATCAATCCCACTCCAATGACACGGAGTCTTGATCATACAGAAGTTACACTAAGTAGTGTACAGACGGAGAAAAGTATGGTTTTGTTAACATGAAATTGTACCATGATCAAATGCAGTATGGTTTCTGGTGCTCTGCATTGGCATCAACTGCTCATTCATGATGATGGATGATGAGATTAACTGTAGTGGGGACTCACTGAGACATCACCCAAGCACAGTTAATCTCCGCCATCTGTCAGTGAGAACAGCCTGTGGATGACATATTGAAGTACCGTACACCATACATTGGATAATGGTGTACTTCTCCTTGTTACCTCCACAAACATGTGTCTTTCCTGAGATTGATGCTTAAAAAGTAATGTGATACCATTCAATCTGATTTGCTTTGTTGCTGTATTCTGTATTGTGTGTCATAAAAGGTCCTAAAATAGTTTGATTTTGATAAGGTTTTCTTGAAATATTTGGTACTTTTTTCCTTTTCAGTAGCAGTTTGCCATTCTACGTTTAATTGGTTTCCATTGTTTGGGTATCACTTGCCGCATACATATTTCTTGCTCCATTTGTATTTTGCAGGTTCCATCATTACAGAGAAAACTCAGGAGGCCCATAGATCACCAGAGTTCTCGCTCCAGGTTTGGATTTCTAAAGATTTGTCAGTTTCTAATTATTTAATTTCTATTTCCATGCTTATCCATGTCACTAGTCAATCCAGAACCAAAAAAATAAGAAAGTCGTTATATATTTGAACCATTATCTGTTTTGTTTGCATTATATTTGATTTCCAGAATAATCAGGAGAGTTCTGCCAGATTGCATTCACAGGCAACCGCATATGCCATGCTAGCAGAATCCCCAGCCTTGAAGAAGAGAGCTTTACAAGTAGGCAATGGAGATGCAAAGGAACTCACTGAAAACATGGATGGTCTCCTCAGTGTTCTTCCTGTTTCTGCAGAGAACACAGGGCTCCTACCAAAGCGAGCTGGTGAATTTCTTATTTATTTTTTGTTTTGTTTGATTTGTTGTACTGTTTGCTGTGGTTGTTTTTATCCTAATTGGATATAGAGGCCCTTGATAGAGAAAAATGCGGAATAGGAATCGTAAAATTCTTTTGAACCAGTTATTTTGTTTAGTTTTCTCTTTGTGACTTGCCTGCAATATAAGTAGGCATGATGGCGTATTACAGACGTTCCTCGAGGTTCTGATCTCATGTTAGAGGCAATAATCGAAGCAGAAGTGGCGCGTAATGCCAGGCAGTTCTTTGGGGAGCAACAACACCAACTTCAAGGACACACTGAAGGAAACCCTGGATCTTTGTAATTTGGTAATTCTTGTAAATGTCAACTGCGATTTTGTCTATTTTATTCCCTCTCCTATTAGTTATTATTTCCGCTTTGACATTCTCATTACTTCCCGTAACATGATTACTTCCATGTTATGTGATTGTGGGAAGCTGATATCCATGTAAATAGTTCCCCCCTATGTGAGTATCTGCATATTTAAAACAGAAACTGTTTATGGGATTTGTGGAAAATTTTACCACTATCCAAATTCGTGAACATCCCATGGGTTAAAATTTCTTGTTCTCTCGAACATTTTTTAGTTCCATATATTGTTGTTGGCTGTTTGGCGATAGCTTCCAGATTCTTTTTATGACCTTTGACTCTGATAGAATTATTTCTGATACTATGTTTATTAGGAACTTTTACCTTGGCCATGGCCTTAAGGTTTTTGATTTCTTCATAAATGGCTGCCGCATTTGGTTTAGGAAAATGGTAGGGGAAGGCCTAGGCTTTGCGATTAAAATAAAAGTAGAGCTGAACATTTCAATTCTCATCGGAGATTTCAATTTCTACATTTGAAAATCCTCAGATTGATCATCTTGACTTCTACAATTATAGATCTGAAAAAGAAAATGATTTTTGGACTATCCATTTCAAATTTTCATAAATCTACCATTTTTGGGTATTTAAATTTCATAATCAGTCGCCGCTATGAATTTTTAAGCCATTGTGAGGGTTTCCTTGTGCTGGAACTGCATTCTTCAATGGGATTGTGAGGTGTGGCTCTACCTTTTCTAGTAAAGACTAGGCCGGAATTGCATCAAAGGGCTTAAATGCACCCTTTAGTTTATTGCTTTTAGAAAGTTCAAGCAATTTATGATGGCAAAAATTTTAGGAACAAAAGTCTTTTCCTTCATTTGGTTTGTAAAATTTCATTTGCTCTTCCTTTTCATGATTGGAATAGGAGTAACAAAATAATTGCCCAATCCTTTTTAATTTTAAAAAGGAGTTTTTGTATACTAGCATCATAGCCTGTCTTCTTTTGGGGTAGGTTGGCATATGTGTGGTATGCGTTGTGAACTTTTAAGTCGACGTAATACCTTTTTATAAGATGCCCTCTTCCCAGTCCGTACATGGAAATCACTTTCAGTGCTTAATTACCAAAGAGAAGTTAAACAAGACTGAGGGCCTACACAATTTTTTTTGGGGTGAGTAATAGGGGAGAGGGCCCCTACCCTTCTTAGGAATTGAGCTTAGGACTGTAAAAGGCCAAGTGCTAACCAATTTAGCCTGGGCTTTTTTTCCTAGAGGGTCTACACTTTACACTAGGTGATCTGGTAAACTATTTATGAGTATTATTTCAATCGAAAAGTTTTAGAATCTACATAAGAATACCCGGATGAGCATTATGAAAGAAAAATGAAGATTTGAGTTTTTAAACACTTAGATTTGATTATAAAAATATTGGATGATCTACGTTTAATCTTAAGAATTTTTGGACACATCAAATGTGTATTCTTTTTTGGGTTGAATTATTTTTGTTTTCTGGAGGTTACTGCCCTTAATCTGGGGTTACTTTTTACCCTATGGGGCATGTAGCTATCGGAACATATGCTTTTGGGCTTCACCAAAAAGCATGCCAAAGCTAGTAAGTAGGCTTTTGTACAGCCATTAACTTCCATTAGAAATGGTTCCTCACGTCATTACATGAAGGCAATCGCATTGCCTCCTAACCAAAAGGGCAGTTACCTCCCTCTGGTCCATGAGGTAAAACCTCCTAGAAAATAGCCGTCCCTTCTGTGTTAGGAGGTCTTCGCCTTTCTAGTAGGCTTTGCCTCACCTAACCCAGAGGTATAGAGAGCCCTCACTTCACTCTTGTTTAGGAGGGTTCGCTTTTCACAGTGGTAGTGCACTTTTCTTTGCAGCTAGGGCACATGTGGTTTTCTTCTTTGCAGCTAGCGCACATGTGGTTTTCTTCACGGTAAGCACGCCCAGCAAACTACAGCTCGAAAGGCAACAAGCAACAGGGCACCGCCCTACTGCTTATCCGGCCATTTTTGAACCCCACCCAATTCAATAGGGGACTCCTCATTTCTTGCTATTCCCAGCCCTATGGCACGACTAAGGCTAAATAGGTTCAATGATCTCTTTCTTGAATAGGCCGACCTAAATGAAATGTCTTGTATACGCTTGTCCCTATATTTATTGAAACTCTAATGGATTAGTGGTTTCCTCTTTTGGAAGACCTAATTAAAGGTGAACACAACCAAATCTTCCCATAGCAACACGGCCGCTAATGGACAAATAATTTGTTTATGGCTTATGTTGGAGTTATTATGTCACCAATGACGAGGTTCAACTTCAGTCCAAAAACCATTGTTTGAAAACTCACGATTTAGAGTATGCCAGTGTTTTAAAATCCATCCGGATTAGTGGGACTGATTGTTCACCCACTCATCCGTGTCGGATTGTTGGATCAACGATCTGGATGGGGTCAAGATTGGTCTAAATCAATGATTCAAAAAAATTGTCAAAAAATTAATAAAATAAAAATATGAGTTTATGGGGTCAGGATTAGAGAGGACTTGAAAAAACATTAAATAAGCTTTAAAAAAAACATTTAAGATCAGTTTTATGGGGGGAGCCAGGCCAGATCCATACCATTCCATAACCGTTTTAGTCTTAAACTGATTTCCATCCAAATCATTGATCGGAATTAGAAATCAATAGATTTTTAAACACTAGAAAATGCAAATTGATCCAACTCAATGGGCATCACCAGAGTCAGTCTGAGACTCGGGTGATTTTGTAGTAGAATTGTCAGTCTGTGTCAAAGAAACATATTTCTCTAAAGAACTGATGTAATTATCTCTCTCTCTCTCTCTCTCTCTCTCTCTTTCTAAAAGCTAGGTAATTGCGTCGGTTCAACTTGTCAAGATGGAGGGCTGGCTCCATTTACAACTTTTGAACTTGGAGAGTCGCGTCGCTTGGTTAGAATGGAACTCGCACCACTGCTCTGATCACCTCTGCCCAGAGTCCGTTCTTGGTACGTGTCTAGAAGTAATGAATCAACTATTGAGTTGAGTCTAGGACCACAATTACCCAAGAGTTGAGTCTAGGTCCACATTTACCTAAGTGGATGACATCAGGTCTGGTAAAATCCATATCCCACCTAAAAATGTGAAAGAAAGATATATGTGATCTTTTATTGGGGAATACATTTTTTTTTTTTTTCACTATTTTGTTTTGGCAAAAGATCACTTACATGTAGTCTTTATTGTAGTAAGATAAATTTCAAAATAAATCAACATAACAATAAAACCAAGATCTTAAGAACTTGATACCATTGAAACAACTATGTACTATGCTTGAGAATAAAAGATAAGATTGCAAGAAACAAAATTGAAGAGTGCCGGAGATTACCTCAATCGGGCTTATCACACCCCACACCGAGTCACCACCATCCGATGGTGCGGGATCAACGGTCTAGCTTCAATCTCAAATTGGGAAAGCAAATTTCGGCCAAACCACACCAATAGAATATGAACCCCTTTGATCACAAACTCAAACCCTAGGTGAATTCTTTTAGCAACCTAGTTTGAGAGAGATGAATTCTCTTTTTGCTAAACTCTAAAACCCTTAGCCATAAATCCATATTTTAGAGACAGGGGAGAAGAACTCCGTAACCTAAACCCTTAGGTTTTTTCACAATGTGATTTCGCAGTCGATTATGTTGCTTACGAGTTAGATTATGCCGTTGATTCCGCTCTGTATTCTTTATAGTTAAGCCACTGATGAAGTATTTGATTTTCGTCTCTGATGTTTTTTCTTTTGATTTCCGGAGGGAGCGCTTGTACCGCAGCCCCACCTAGCAAGTTTCTTTGTGGTTGTGATGATAGATAGCTCACGAGTGACTCGTAGTTTCCGGTGACAGACAACGAGGAGGGGAGAGTGACTAATCTATGACCCAATTCCGGATAGGTGAGCAGGGACCCGGAGAGAGAGATCAAACATGAGAGAGATAAATTTTCTTAAGAGAGAGAGATAGAAAGATAAGGTATAGAGATTTTTTTTGTAGAGACAATCTATTTTTATAGGCTTTGAATAAGATTAGGGCTTTTTAGGGTTTTCTTTGGCTTACATCTTCTTGTGAGATTGAACATAAACCGTAGATCAAGGGTGACATGTGGGGTGAGAGATCTGAGTCATCCATTCCATAAATGGGCCATCAACATTATGGAAAGAACCATTATCCCCCTTTCCTAAACCATTTTGTCATCAATAGAAATTAAATAAATTAAATCTAATCAAAATATTATGCATACCATAAATAGCACAAGTTTACTCAATCTTTCCACAAAATCTTTCAAAGATATATCAAGTCAATATTTTGTCAATATCTTCCAACCATATAGCCACATGCCATATCACCAAAAAATAGGAAAGAGAATAAGGGTGGGGCGTGCCACCTAAGGGAGGCACTCATGGGCCACACCTTCTAAAAATATGGTGGGCGTACACAATGGGCCCCCAAGATATTTTTATATATTTAAAATTAATAAAAAGATTTTAGAATATTATTTGAATATTTAAACAATTGTAAATTCAATATCTTTAATTTTATAAATCCAAAAATTATAAATAAAATATCCAAGGGTTCATAAAAATTCAAATAATAATCTTAAAATAAGTTTCATCATAAAAAAAACGCAATTAAATTAATTTGATGAGAAAAAGACCATATGGTTTAGGAATCAACAATCATGGGGTACACCACCTTCATATGTGGACTACAAATCACACTTGCTTTATCAGACCGACCCAGTGTTTCTCATGACCCACAGTTCAAGCAAGGGCTCATTAGTGGGTAACCAAAGTTCGGCCGATGAGCCAAGGGATCACAATCCCAGTCTGTGGATTTTAGGTCCTCCCCTAAAGTCGAGTCAAGGTCACCTAGACCTGATACGCTCATAGTTCCTATGATGCATAGGGGTATCTCTCGCACATGCATGCACTTCACCCTAAAATGTGGATTTTTGGCTTTCCCGAACGATCCATCGATATGCATGTCGTATGATAGTACATGGATGAAGTTTTGGCCCCTGTCTCTGTAGGCCACCATTACACACAAGGGTCACACAGTCCCTCGGCTCACTCATCCGGGCATGTTTTCCTACCTCATCAAGGGCTAACTCATAAACCCTCATCGGTTTGTTCTTCATGCCCAGGTAACATGTGTTTTTTCCAACCGACTGGCTTAGATCGTTAAGCACAGATCGGTATCAGCAAATCATTGTTTGCTTA